TGCTTTGAAGGTTAGCATTGGCGTAGATGTAGTTCGTCCGAGAATTTTGCCACATATTGCCTGTAGGAGAGGGGTTGAAGCTTGGAGATTAATTCGTCACCCAAAATGGCTCGGAGATGCTTTTGAGTTCTGTCAAGGCTGGAGGGTGAGGTCTCGCCAGCTACTGGCCAGATAGAACAACAGTACTCCATTTTCGTCGTGATTTGCCTCTTATAATGACAGAAGATAGCAGAAGGATTCACCTAGTTACTGGAGTGGTAAAGAGAGCCGACCATTTTACCTGCATCCTTAGCAACGGATCGTATGTACGACTTCCACTTGAGGTCGGGTATGAATTTGAGGCCCAACAATCTTTCAAGGCACGGTACTCTGTTCGTCTTGATTGGTGGTCGTTCGAGATCAAGTCGGCGATGATGGAACGTAATTAGCTTGGTCTTTGAGACATTGAATGTAAACCATCCACTTTCTTACCCCATTGGGTAGTTTTTACAAAATCGGAAGAGAATTCAGACACCAATCTCTGGCTATCGAGAGTTTTACACTTGCGCCCTTATATTGGCGTATCGTCGGCATAGATGTTTACAAATATTTTGGGTCTATTCTCAGGCAGATCATTTATATAGATCAAAAAGAGTGATCACTGTTTGACTTGCGTTGATCGCTCGGGCTCCGGAGGACTGGCAATTAATAACAACATTCAGTGATCTACCTCTTAGGAAGGATTTTATGATCGAGAAGACCTTTTCCAGCGATACCATAACTGGAAATCTTGTGTGGTAAACCTTTATGCCACACCTTTTTAAGGCCTTTAAGATATCTAATGCTATGTTCCTCGAGGTGTGTTTGTTATCAAGAGCCTCACTGATTCTGTGAGTGATGGTAGTTAAAACATAAGCAGTGAATCAGGCCGACCGAAACCAATACTGCTCGTCGCTAATGAGGTTGTTGTACTTTTCTAGGTGCTCGACGTCCTTATTGATTATGGCCTTAAAAAGCTTACTGGTGATACTGAGGAGACTGGTGGGTCAGTTTCGGGAGTGGGAGATTGCAGGTCCGCATACCTGAAAACCGGGCGTATGCTTCACACTTTCCACGTGCTTGGGAAGGCTTTCTCCTTCAAGCAGTGGTTGAATAATTTAGCTAGGATTAATGATTATTCCGAGTTGATATTCTTAAGGACAATGACTGGAATTTTGTCTTGGTCAGTGGCTTTCTTAGGGTTGAGGTTTATGATAAGTTTAGAAACTTCTGTGATAACAATATTACTGAGATTGTGTTCAGGGAGACTTTGGAACATGGGGAGCGGAATGTATTTTCTTTATCCTCTAATGTTGAGTTAATGGAGTAGATAGAGCCGAAGAGGTTCACCTTATCTTTCGATGAGGATATGGCATCGGGACCATTTATAATTGTAGACACGGTAGCATAAGCTCTGTTCACGATTTAGTTGGTGATCTTCCAGAATTCCATGGATTCAATTTGTTTCTTTTCAGCCTGGGTGGACAGCTCGTGCGTAGATCTACTTGGCGTTTTCTAGAACATTTTTGCATTGATTGCGAGCTAATTTGAACGCAGTGAAAGGCTAACTACATCGCTCCTTTTGATAGACACTGAAGTAATAGTTTCGATGAGACATGGCCGAAACACATTCAAGAATGAACCAGGGTATGCAGTTTGGTTTTTGATGGAATTTTTTGGTACAAAACTCTCCATTCCTGAAGGGATCCAATCTGTAACGAGGGCAGCGATTTTGGATGCAGTTTGCTTGTAGTTGGCTTTTAGGGAAGCTCCATCATGTAGGATCGAAAGAGGTCCCACTCTGCTTTCACATAGCGAAAAATCGTTCTGTTATTATTTCCTTTGGTTTCCGTTGTATACACATATACTTCGTGTCCCAACCAGAGACATAAAACCAGAAATGGTTTCATGAAATCTTCCAATAGTAGAAAAAAAGAAAAGAAAAATAAGATCCCACATATTTAACATAGATAAAACTGTTCATAATGTGTGCGCTGTAATTGTGAGTACAATGTTTTGTACTACATTAAGCCATGAGCTACCAGAAATCTCTTCAATATGTCTACAGAAACCTTTTGGAATCAATATGTTTCAACTACAATTGGAATTACTGATGGCCCATTTTTCTTTTTAGATTTCCACTTCAAGATCTTTGTATTTTGATGATTAATTATTATTATTATTTAATTATTTTACTAATTTAATACTTTGTATGTGAAAACTCAAACATAGGAATATGTCAAATTTTATTTGTTCCTGAAATATATTTTAAACCACTAAAGACCACTGTAAAATCAGACATTAATTATGTAAATTAAAATAAATTATGTAAATTAAAATAAATTATGTAAATTAAAATAAGAATCCGGTATTAATTATAGGTTTCTAAAATAATCGCTTTTTAATTATAATTTTATAAAAAAATTATACGATATTTATTATAGGTTTATAGAAATACAATAAATCAGGAACATCCCATAATAGAGCGTTGAGCATTCATTATTGTCTATTTTGTCCTTTCAGGTAAGTGGCAAACATGGCACCCCATAAATTTATGATGCAACTTTTGAATATATATCATCCGACTTTGCGGCGATCTGCCATCTATTCACACAACTAATAAGGCATGTCCTATGCAATTTCTATTTAATTCTCTTTCCCTCAAACCTGATATTATGCCCGAGGAATGTTAAATATCTTATTACCGATTTTAGTTCTGGTTTTATTTTGTAGTTGTTTTTAAATCATCTTCGTGGCTTAATTATTCTATCAATAATCATTTCAGAATTTCTTGTAGTTCTTTATCTTTCTCGCTTGGAAACTCTTCTTTATCTGTAAAGATATTGTCCAACTTTGAAATTTTTTTTTCTAATCAAATATTCCTACGTTTTCTTTTTCTTTTTTAAATTTCAGGAATGGCGATTGGTTTTCTCATCACTCTGCCACACGCTTATTTTTACACTGACAAGAAATTTTGTTTTATAAATGTTTGATTCTGATATCTCCAACTTGAAGCACACACTTTTTGCTATGCCTCTTGCTGACGACTATCAACTCTGTCTTCTTATAATTATTGGTCAACCATTTCTTTTTGTTTTTGTTCTCTGAGTAATGTTTCTAGTTTTATTTCGGAGTTAGTCATTATTATTATTATTTATCGTATTTAAAATACAATTGCGACACAAGACCAAAATGGGGAGGGGTTGAGGCTGGTCATCACTATCTTATACCTCGCTAATTCACGACCCATTCACACATTACAATTTCCACATTCACCATAAGATCTCGTCCGCTACCAATCAATCCTCCATACACCATAATACCACATCCTCTCAAGGGGAACCTACAAAACGCCCATCATACCATAAAAATCAAATGATTATAAAATATATACTTAAAAATTTATAGATGAATAGAATTAGAGAGGAGAGAATGAACCCCCAAATCGAACTAAATATGAACTCAAAGTAAACTAAACATAACTTGCTGTGAATATGGATTATCTCCCCCTTGATAATCCAACTATAAAAGCTATACATTTCCGCCTGTCAGGTAGCATTCTAAATTGAATAAATGATTACTAGACAGAATCTCTTGTCCTGTTTTCATTACATAACTGATGTCAGTAGGGCCCGCTGAACCCTCAAAAAAGTGAGGCCGCTGTAATCTGCCAATTTGAACAAAATGACGAGGCTCTATCGCTAAAGGAAGTGAGAAAGGAGAAAAATATACGGACATGGGAAATAAAAAGCTGACCCAGTCGAGATAAAAAGCGGCCGAAACAAACTGGGGAGGATGGGTTCGTTATTATTATTGTGTCATCCGTACGTTAAAATCATTTGCGATAATAATATTATGTTATTATCCAATAAATATATGGAATATATTTGTTTCACCTAGATTAATTTACGCGTATATTTTTATCTGTACCATCCGCTGAACTCTCCGATATTCTTCAAGCGTCTGTTTTGTATTGAAATATCGAAACTTAGATTCAGTATTAAAGACCAGGGATGAATACCAGTATGAAGGTGGAAGTTACAGTAATTAGAATGAGATAAGATGCACAACTACAAGACTTACCTAGAAAATTCGATTCTTACCGTTAATCAACCTTTTGCAGGATATTTAGATCCATAATTTTTTTCAGATTGTAAGACTTTCTTGACGACAATAAGGATTCCTACATGAATCCCTACTATTTAACCCATAGCTGGAGAAAAATGTGGATTCATATCTTTCTCAAGAGACTTTGCGTATAAATGGATATAAAGAAACCAACCAGAATTCGAACTCGGCTCTCTGATTTGGCCATTTTTATTTCTGCCCTTATTTTTCTTTAAGTTTAATTCCCCCTCCCCTCCCTCGTTAGGTGGTCATTGATATCAGTTCGCTGGTGGATGCGGGGCGCCTTTCGTTTCGCTTGAGTGTTTTTTCGTATTTGTTGTTGTGTCTGAGTGAGTGCATGTCAGTGTGAATGCTTGGGATGAATGAATGTTTTATACTATTAGAGTCCCGCATTGATTTCGGCCAATGAACTGTTTCTGCTACATTTAGTGATTGTGTGGGGTTTTATTACTAATATAATTTTTCTTTAGTTTCTTGTAAATAGTTTTGTATTCATATTTGTAAATACACATTGGAACTAGTTTTTAGAATTGTTTTTTTACTCGCCTCCAATCGCAGACAATGAATTGTAAATATGGAAACTAGTTAGTATTTTCATAGAGACAAAGAGGTATTATGGTGGTTGTAGAAAGAAAGGTACGTATGAATGGGTTGTTTTGGTGTAAGGAATATTGTTTGTACGATTGGGTCAGTGTTTGCGGCTAGCTAAGTTATAGTTAAGACAGAAGAAGACCGCCCTTTCCCCAATCCCCCACTTCGGCCAAGTGCCACATTTCGGTATATAACAGAATAAATATTGCTCTCTGGTTTGCACGTCCGAGCCGTTATGCATTACACTAACAGAACATCATAACATACAGCACCTGCTATTTACAAAAGGTCACCCATCTCGGTACTAGTCAGCCTCGACGATGCTTAACTTTGATGATCTGACGAGAACATAAATTTGAAAAATATATATATATCATTAAAATATTCTTTTTTATCATCTTTTCTAGATACTCAAATCCATTTCGTCAGGAAGTGTAAATTAAAACATAATTCATTCAAACAACTTTGAATTAATGATAAGAATATATATATATATATATGTTAAGAAATGGACAAGGTCCGACAATTTATTTATTAAAGACATTTTTATTTATGTTTAACGTTGTTATTTTTATAGATACAAGTATTTAAGCAAATGCTCTGTTTAAGATAAACAGTATTAAATAACATTTACCGGCCTGAATGTCCGAGAAATTTTCATAGAAAATATTCGTTCATAGACAGGATTCGAACCTGCATCCTATACGGAACTGTCATATACGCTGACATGCCTTAACCACTCGGCCACCATGAACCTTATGGTAGACAAGGTCGAATTTACTGTTATAAACTACAATCTTCCATGAATCTCGTACATTCATAACTGCTCTGGCGTATCGAATGTAAACAAATGACGTCATATGTTAAGAAATGGACAAGGTCCGACAATTTATTTATTAAAGACATTTTTTATTTATGTTTAACGTTGTTATTTTATAGATACAAGTATTTAAGCAAATGCTCTGTTTAAGATAAACAGTATTCGTATGTATTTATAACTTTTTTGCCGAGAAGATAAATTCTCAGCAATCGATTTTATAGTTGTGAATATATATGCAATATATAAGCAAATGAATATATATTATCTGTGTCTTTGGGCAGCGATCCCTCTTGTATACATGTTTCATTTAATTCGTCTAACAAAGTACAGCGAATAAGCTATCTATTTTCCTGTTGTCGTATAAGTGTTTTATCTTTCTAGGTATAAAATGTGTAAAAACAGGTGAATATTCTATATGTCCGCCAGCTTTCACCTAATGTATTTGTCATTATTAAGGATTTTTTTGTAACTGAATAAGTAGATATTCACATATGTATATCAATAGTGATGGGAATGTTTTTTTTTCGATATTATTCACTGTCAACACATTGCGGCTATGTTCATGGTCGGTGACATCGAGTGTTGTCTTTTGCTTTGTATTAATTTATACACACACACACACACACACACACACACACACACCAGATAAAATTAGAACGAATAGAGCACAATTCCAATGCTCGTAACATTTAATTTAAAAGAGGAATCAATACAAAATAGCGAAATATTCTTTATTTTAAGATATTACATCGAAAAACGTGTGAAAATCGCTACACGATTGCAGTCGTGTTTCGATGCGTATCAATGTATCTCATCAGGCGATCATAAAACGCATCGAAGCACAACTGCAATTGTGTAGCGATTTTCACATGTTTTTCGATGTAATATCCTAAAATAATGGATATATATATATATATATATATATATATATATATCCATATACATATATATATACGTATACATATATATGCATATACATATATATATACACATACATACACATATATATATATATATATATATATATATATATATATATATATATATATATATATATATATATATGCATATGTATATATATATATATATATATATATATATATATATATATATATATATATATATATATATATATACATATATATATATATATATATACATATATATACATATATATATATATATATATATATATATATATATATATATATATATATATATATATATATATATATATATATATATATATATATATATATATATATATATATATATATGTATGTATATATATATATATATATATATATATTTATAGAAAAATCTTAAAATAATTGTCGGACTTTGTCCATTTCATAATGTGTGACGTCATTTGTTTAAATTTTGATACGCATCGAGCAGATATGAATGTATGAGAGAAAATTGATAATTGTGTTTAAAAACAGTAAAATCAACATTGCTAACGGAAACGCTCCTCTGTGGCTCAATCGGTAAAAGCACGTTAGGCTATATGACGGTTCCATATAGGATACAGTTTCGATTCCTGCCGGAGGACGCATATTTTCTATGAAAATTTATCGGACAATCAGGCCGGTAGATGTTGTTAATACTGTTTATTAGAAACAGTGCATTTACTTAAATATTTCTATCTAAAAAAGAACGTATAAACATTAAAAATGTCTTAAAATAATTGTCGTATTTTGTCCATTATATATATATATATATATATATATATATATATATATATATATATATATATATATATATATATATATATATATATATATATATATATATATATATATATATAAGTGGAGTAATGTATAGTGGCTTGGATTGAGGAATCGCAGAGCCGTGTTCGAATCCATTACATTCACTTACGTGCTAATACCCTTGGGAAAGGTATGAATCCTCTTCCTCTCCCTCCAGCTATGAGTAAAATAGCAGGACAGACGGTTCTATAGCCTTGGATGGTAAATGATCTAGGAGAAGGACAACTCTGAATTCAAAAACTGTGGAGGGTCGTTTGGGAACCTTGTGGCATTCGGTGCACCAGGTCTCTATTCGTTCCTTCAAAAAGTGTGGATGGTCCTGCACGAAGCCTTCACCACTATAATAAAATCTCATGTGCCGGTGTCGGGCTGTCGGTTTCCTGGAAACTGATCTCCTTGACCCTCATACGTCGAATCTCGACGGGAGAATCGATTATATATATATATATGTGTGTGTGTGTGTATGTATGTATACCTACGTTCAAAATGCATCTTAACGCACGAATTATTACTTTTGATTTTTAAAAACATAAATATACTGGTTGTCATGTGATAAGGCTAAATTAAACCCAGATTCAAAGCTGAATTATAATATAAACTTAATATAATATTAGGGTGTAAATACAGAATTTAGAGTGTATGTAGGGGGTTATTGTGAAAAAAAAAGAAAAAGGCGGCAAGCTTAAATTTTAAAAGTGGAACGTCGGAAAACTCGTTAAATAATAATAGACGGTAAATAGTCGGCGGTGGGTGTTAATGTATAAGTAAACTAAAATATGCGAAATGCATGTGATATTTGGATAATATATTTATCCAGAATTAAAATATTTTAAGAGAAATATATATTCGACAGTCTGGCCTGACCTCAGGAGATCACAATCGTATATGTCAATGTTAAACTTAACTGAATGCAAAGCAAATCGCCTGAAGTGGTCACTGAAATTAACTATACATGTGATTTAGCGTACTTAATTTGAAGATTTATAGATTGAATACTAAGTAGGACATTCAGTGACGTTGCTCAATTTTATAAACTTCGGAATATTTGAAGCGGACATTTCCAGGTTGACAACAGCATCCACATATTTATCGTCACTTGATTAATACAGGACAAAAATTAGTAAAATTTCAAATTTCAATATAAAGAATAAAAATCTTTCCGACTCTAACTTTATATTCTCGATCTACTCAAACTTTCGAGATAACTACAATTAAATATTAAAATACATTAATTTCATTTTCAACTTGAATTTTAACGCCAAGTCTTTTCATCACAGCTGTTTAAAACGCTTGTTTATGTTCTGTAGGAAAATCCAACATGGCGCTAGAACGAAATATTCGACGAAAAATCCCATTCGTCAGTAACTTTTTAAACACCTCATAGAAAGCAAAATTCGCAAACTTAACCTGTGCCAAACTGTTTTCCTTAATCCTTGATGATTTGACTGTCCGAAAATGACAACATCAAGGTTAAATAATGGAAACTGACCGTGGAAAACGAAATTATGTGAAACAAGTTTTCGATCAATCAGCCAACTTCTAAATGTTTTCACACCATGTTATAGCATCCAGATGGCTAATGTTTACATTTGGAATTATTCACTAGTAAGTAATCATCGATTTGGTTGTGAAAAATGTCACTCGGGAATTAACATTAAAAATTGTGGCCAATTATGTGAGAAAAATGACCTTTTTGTGAAAAAAAAACATTTTTTCACTTCAAAACCCCTTATCACACACACATACACACACAAACACACACACACACACACACACACACACACACACACATATATATATATATATATATATATATATATATATATATATATATAAGCGTTTCACCCCAAGCAAGGGTGGAAGCCACTATGACGCAAGGGGTTACAGAAAATTTGGAACAAGATCAGATAGGAGTGATAGAACAAAGGATGAGGAGAAGGGTAGTGGATAGATCAAGGCAACTGGAGATGTCGATTGACATTACATTTGAATAGCTGGAGATTGTAGCTCTCATGGAAACTGGAATTGGGAAGAGAGTTCCACAGACGAGAGGTGCGAGATATGAAGCCATTGGAGTAGAAGAGACGGCTATATTTAGGAGTTTCGACAGTGAAGCGGTGAGAGCGGGATGCCAGCCTCGTAGGCCGCTTGAACTCATGAAGTCTGGGAACAAGCGAATGCAGCTCCTCGAGCAATATATATATATATATATATATATATATATATATATATATATATATATATATATATATATATATATATATTTAAATAATGCTAACCACCATATGTGCCTGCCTTGCTTGGATTCTTCATTCTTTACAAGATCTATTCCTATTTATAAAGGATAGCATTGCTTTCGGAGCGACATAATTTCAGCAAATCTCTCCCCTGATATGAGTCGACTGAGTATCACATCCTTGGCTGATAGCCACTTTAGAATGTTTCAAAACTGTGGAGAAAATCAACATGAAACCTCTCCAATGATATTTCCCGAATACATCATAGAAAATCACAGCTATTAAAAGAAATTTCTGTGGAAAGACATGCCTATGATGTGAACAGGTTTGTCCTTGAAACTCAGGAGGAAAATTAAATTAATATATTTTAGTATTTAATTATTGTTATCTCGAAATAGATTGACAAGGAAAAGTTAAAAGGCGGAACGATTTTATTCTTTATAATGAATTTTGAAGTTTTACTAATCCCCCGTTCTCTATCTCCGTATATATATATATAAATATATATATATATATATATATA